ACGGTTGCCACACTCAAATGACATTGTAGAATTATGATGAGTTTTAATCTTATCATAACACCATGACATGAGCGCTTTTGCTGAATCATGAAGGTTTTCTCTTCTTTTTTGGAGACAAAATTCTAAATCATGCATGAAAATAACAGTTTAAACACCTCTAGTTTGTAGGTCGGTGTTCTAATAAAATTTTGCACTCTTCGCACTTTAATGTATCCAAATCAAAAGGAGGTATAAATTTTACTGATCCTCCAATAAGTTTGAAAACTTCAGAAAATCTCTAAAATATTTTGATTTTTGGTCGATTAATCGCCATAAAGTACTTGAGCCATATTCTAAATTTCCAAGCAAAAAATATCACATAAACTCATAAAAGTAGTAGCTGGAGGTTAAGTGGAAAAAAGAATCAAAATAGTATTGGGGGTTTAATTAAAGTTTCCAACTTTTATGAGGTTAAGTGCCAAAGGCCCAACTTATTGGGGGGCTGACTAAAATTTACCCCAAGATGAATTCACACATCTAAATCACCCCAGTGACATCTGACACAAGATACGCTCAATATGGCTCAAGAGATCCCAGCTGTGACACTAAACTCCGGCCGCAAGATGCCGGTGATTGGCCTTGGGACAGCATTTCCAAACCCGCCGTCCGACCAACTTTCGGGGATCATTGTCCACGCCATCGAGGCTGGTTACAGGCATTTCGACACTGCCGCGGTTTACGGATCAGAGGAAGCCATCGGCATTGCCATAGCCAAAGCATTAAAGCTTGGCCTCATTGGCTCTCGGGCTGAACTTTTCATTACATCTAAGCTCTCTTGTGCTGATGCGGACCCTGATCTTGTTCTCCCTGCTCTCAAGAAGTCACTAAGGTATTGACAGTTTTCTTTTCAAAAGCTAATTAAATTGCAATATCTTTTCCTATTTCCTAAATTTAATTTAGAGCTCTCACGTACTATCAATATAGTTGCTAGTATTCCTTTCTAAACCTATGTAAAATCTTTTCCAATCTCCTATGTACCTCCTCCTAACTGTTAGGACCATGTCCACGCAATCAATTTCGTTTGATGAATAACAAACCTTCATATTGGTATAATATATGTTTGAGATGTATTACACAGATCACAAGAAGTTAGAATCATGTTCAATATTGAAAAGAGCAAGGTGATAAATTAATCACAGTTGATTCTGAAAAAAGTATTCATAGCAAAAATCATTTTTGAGTACATGGGAGTGTTCGTCTCATTGTCATGAATCCACAGGAATAAATGGAACTCAATTCGGAAATGCATAGCTCGAGATATAAATACTTTAGTTAAACAACATCAAAATAGTCAGCAGCAGAATTGAAACATATACCAGGTTGAAATTTGTACGGGCCATAACTTTTGACTCGGTTATCGAAGTCACTATTATAATACCTTTTCGAAAAGCTCTAGATTGACCTATTTAATCATCAATGGTAGGTTGAGATCAACGAATATCTACAGTGACTCATCAATGGTCTACAGTTGCATGTTGATGTTTTCTTAAGAGTTGAATAGCAACAGTCGATGGGTGAACATTACCATCAATGGGTGGGTTGTAACCCATCGATGATTAAGTCTGACCATCGATTATTGAGTACCTATATTGCGATTTTTTATTGACTCAATCTTAGTCATTCATTGCCGAGGGTATATATGCTCTTTTCTCATGATTTCCAGAGTATCGCTTGCCTAATAGAGAGAGAAAAAAAGAAAGAGGAAGAGAGAGCTAGGGTTTCAAATTGGTGAAAGGATCTTATTCAGGCTTCTCAAATAGCATCCTCAATATCATTTTTCATCAACCGATCATCAACCTTCGAGGAGTGTTGTCCTTAGATTCATCATCTACACTGTTATTTATCAAGCTTTGCTTCAATCTTTTGAAGGATGGTTTTCTAATCAAAAAGGTTGTAAGATCATTCTAGTTGTGCTTAAGTGTTATTTATTTCTTTGTATCAAACTTATGTTTATGGCGTATTCAGGTTGGGATGAATTGATGGTTTACGCTCAAGTCATGAGTAATAATTGAGGAGTGGGACTAGCTAGGGTTATGTGTTACTCACTGTGGAGAGTTAGGTTCGACTACTAGTGTCCGGTAGATTCTATGGGGTGGTTACTCACTATGGAGAGTTAGATTAGATAACTGATTTCGAGTAGATTCCAGAATATGCTCTTTGTAAGCCTGCTGAATCGAGATGTGATTTAAGAGAGTTTTTGGCATAATGAGGAAGCCCCTTTAGGAGAAGGAAGCATGGGCGTAGAATTGTTATTTGCACTACTATAAAATCTCGTGATATAATAGTTGATTTTTGGCTTGGTTGTTCACTTTTATTTTTCTATATATCCATTACATATCCTATGTTTTAGCGAAAAGCTTAAGCAACGATAATCACCCCCTCTAGACCTGCATTTCAGATCCAACACCAACATTATTTCAATTCTTAAAATACTAGAATTCTAGGGCGGATGATCCCCATCAATCATTTAGGACTGAATTCACGTAAATTTCTTTCCTCACATGCTTTCTCCCATCACACCATTTGAATCGTGTTATAAAAATATTCCAATTAAATTTTAATTTAACAGAATTTGATGAAATGGAAATTTCGTTGGACTAAGTATTTTTATAATTATGAACTCATGTTAATATTAAAAAAAGTAAAAATTTTATTATCTAAATGTTAAATTGTATTACCAAAAACGCATTCAAACAAAGAATATACACTGCAAACTAATAAACAAATGTGTATTAATTCCATGTCAATCATTCAAGCGAAATGTGAATGTGATGATTATTAAAACGGAGTCATGAAATTTTCATGAAAATAATCAACATAAGGTGCTAATATTATTTTAGTTTGGACATTTTTAGCGTAACCCCCAAAAACTTTATTTCAGTTCTTACAATATTAGCAATACTAGGTGGGATGCATGTGTGTTGCACGTGGTCAAATATTTTAATTGTTTCTTTTAAGTTTTTATCTTCATTATAATTGCATTCTGGACATAATTATTTTATAGCTTGAATTTGTTTTGTGAACGAATAAAATGAGAAAGTTAAGTCAAAATGAAAGAAAATTAAATTTAGGAGAAATTATTATGAAGAATTTTTTGAGTACTTACATATAATAACACATAAATTTAAGAGTAAAATGAGTGAAAATAACATACTGAATCCCTGTGAAGTAGGGATGATGATCAGTTGACCAAATCCTAACCGAATTCACGTGAATTAGGGATGATGATCAGTTGACCAATTCCTAGTTCCTATTGCTGTCATCATCTAAATAAATTGTTTTAATTGAGTGACAGACACGCACATAGGGTTTTTTCGATATCAGTCCCTTAAATCATTAGTATTTTATTATTAGTCTCTTAAATCTTTATATTTTGATATTAGTCTCTCTAATTGCAGAAATATGTTGATATTAGTCCATGTGGTTAGGATTATAAATAAAGAAAATATTTTGTTATGTTTCACTTTTTTAAGAAAATTAATAATTATACGCTCACTCCTAACACCTAAACGCAATAAAAACCCAACCCGGACCCATATCATAATCCATCTTCTTCAATGACCCAAAAAATAGTGAATCCATCTTCTTCAATGACTCTTTGTATTTTTGGAGGCTACAAAAGCCTATTGGAGCTCCTCCGTAGAGGAGGAGGAGGAGGAGGAGGAGGGAGGGGGGGGGAATTAAATGAGTGGAGGATATTTTGGTAGTTAAACACTCATGGTTAGTCTAAACCTAATCATGATTAAAGTAACTGAACAGTAAACATAATAGAAAGACTTATCTATATATTTTTGCAATTTGACAAACTGATACAAAATATGAGGATATTGAGAGACTAATATCAAAATACTAATGATTTAAGTGACTGATGTTGAAAAAAAATCCATACATGTATTAACATACTTATTACTAATGTATATAATTTATGAACAAATAGAATACATGTTTACTCTTAGAGTTATGCTTTGGTGCTCCGAAAATAAGAATTTTTATACTTTTTAAATGGATTAAAAATTAAAATTTTAGGCTGAAAATGACAAGGGTGCATTTGTCCTTTTCTTTTCAATTCCTATCCTATTATTTCTCTGTCCATAACCACTTTACCCACCTCCCTTGTTTCACGTTTACTAGGTAAATTGCACAGGTGCAATGCACATGGTATACTTTTTAGATTTAGTTAAAATTAATAATTTAGTTTAGCCTAATTTGGAGCTTATATACATGTTTAAACAAACATATAATAGTGTAATTTTCAGATTTTGATTTTTTAATGTACAAAAGAATATAAATCAATACAATTTATTACACTTATTTCTAAATAAATATTTTCTTGTAAATATGGTATCAAATTGTTAATGTTAGTATGTAGAAAGATCCTCTGACTTAGTTCTAAATCTTTTCAGTGAAAATATTAATAAAAATGTTATTTTACAGTCGACGGTTAATTTTATTCCTCTTTATAATGATAAGAAAGGAATTGACATATGCATGCTATGCATAATTTTATACAATATGACTAAAAGCAAGAACAATAATATCTATTTTAAACACAACTTTGCATTATAATACCAGCTTTTTATCATAGATATGGAAGGGAACATAGAAGAGAGAAATCTAACATGATAGAATACGACCAAATTAGATTTTGTTAAAGATCAAGTGAGAAATTAGTTGAAGAAAACTAACCCTCCTCAAGTATTAGTTTTATCCTTTTCTTTGATGTTTTCAACTCCAAAACTACCCTCTAAGTTCAACCTATTTACAAATGTAGGTGTGGAAGGCCTATCAGCCACATAATCCCTTAAATTGTGGATTAGAGAGTTAGATTTTAGGCTTTTCTATTTACAGAAGATGCCATGGAGCACCGAAGCTGTTGGCTTACTCTTATTGCAAAATTTATTCTGCAGATGATGATAAAAAATAAGTTCTAAATTGAAATAGTATTCCTTCTTAAACTTGTTTCATCAAAATTTATGATATTTTCTTGTCATACAGATTCACCTTATTTGACAAACTTTTATGAAGTTATAGGGTTCTTTTTTGTAAATTAATAAAATTTTAGGGGTCTTTTTGAAATTTCATGATTATTTATTCTAATTTTTTTAAATTTCTTGTATTTTATTAAATTAGGAAATTTTCTGTAAAATTTTAAAATGTTTGAAATTCTGGATTTTTTGCAAATATTGTAAAATCTAGATTTTTTATAAAGTTTGTAAAATCTTGGACTTTTCTCTACAAAGTATTTAATAGTTTAAAGTCTTTTGGGTTTTGGTAAGTTTTGTGTAATTTTTTACAAAAAATATAAAGCCTTTTGATTATTTCCATTAATTTTATAAGTTTTTGTAAAATCTTCAAATTGTGGGAGCTATTTGGGTATTTCTATGGGTCGGATAAGTTAAATGGATTTTAGAGCTTGGTTATTGACACATAATTAACATTTATCTAGTTAATTATGAATATAATTTAAGAAGTAAGGATATTTCACATATCATCTAATTATTTGTATCTTTTTTTAATTTAAACATAAGGGAACAGATGACAAAATAAAGAGTTCTATTTTTTACTTGTTATGTACAAAATTTAAATCTCTAGATGGTGGAAAAATTAATCTTTATATGCTTTCTCAAGTAAATAAATTTTTTAAGTTTTAAGATTTTCTATTTTTCATTTGCAAAAAATGGTTGAACGTGAAGATTGAAAAAAATAATTTATAGCTTGAATCTCATTAAAGATAATTCAATTAATTAGAACGCGATCACAATGAAATCATATTAAAGATATTTCTATTAATTAGGATAATTTGTAATGTAAGAAGTTCTTTTAGATTTTTATGCAAAATTTGCAAAACTAAATATTTTTCTACAGATTTTGTAAAATCGAAGATTTTCCACAAAATTTTCAATATTTCAAAGTTTGTTTGGTTTCAGCACTAAATATACAATCTCAAAAAGTCTTTTGGCTATTTATTTAAATTTTCTAGGTTGATTTTTCTATTAAGATATTCAAAGTATGTACTTCGGGTATTTCTACTAGTTGTGCAAATTCTATGGATTTTGGATTATTTTCTAGCTTGGTCATTCATATAGACATTTGTCTCTTTAATTATGAAAATATTTTATGAGGTGAGAATATGTCATACTATTACCTATATTTTTTTAATTTAAATATAAAAATTGAATGATAAGATAAGATAAGATAAATAGTTCTATTTTTTTCACTTGTTAGGTATCAAATTCTAATACTTAGATTGTCAAATTTTAAATATTTATCTGTTTTCTCTAATAATTGTAAATTTTATAAATTCTAAAATTTTCTATTTTTTAACATAGTTAAATCAAATTTGAGCTTATATACGTATTAATTAGGATAGAATATGATAACTAAAGCTTATTCCTACTAATAAAAATTAATTAAAATAGGATATGATAAGAACATAAAATCTAAAAGGTTAAGAGTATTTTTATCTATAGAAAGTTTTTTTCCAAACTCTCACTTTTAAAGAAAGTGTGATATTCTCTTTTGAAATATTTTTGTTAGATCTGACGGCTCTAGTGCAAATCATTTCGGCGACTCAAATGCCTAAAATACCATAATAAGTTTTATGAAAAAAAATCCCAATAAAAATTTCACTTTAAGTCTCAAATTTGAGAAGTAGGAGTTTTGAGATCATATCTCATCCTCCTACAAAGATACCAAGTTTCCTCCAAAATATACTACTCCTTAGCTTCAAAACAGCTCCAACGAGCTCCAAGATCATTCACAGACCTAAAAGGCCCGATTAATTACAGAGAGTAGAGATGCAGAAAATTTGGGGTTTTTTACTGTTACATTTCAGACAAAGTCAGAGGGCTAATAATCTCGCAATGGGGTTTCTAGTTTGTGGTGGGGGTGGTTTTGCTTTTGTTTTGTTTTGGGTTTTTTTTCTTTTTTGAGGGTTTTTGGGGGATTGTTTTTGTTTGGGTTGGGGTGGGTGGGGCGGGGTTGGGGGGGGTTGATTGTTTTGATTGTTATCATTAACTCCATTTGAGGGTTAACTAAGAAAATTCAACATGTTCTGTAGGTTTTTTAGACTTTCCAGACTTATATGGAGTTGAATGAAATTTCCAAAATCTTGGAGGGTTATGTCCAAAACACCTAAACTTACTGGGGGTGTTTCGGAATTTAAAAACTCTAGGATTTATAAGTGCTACAGAAAATAAAAAATAAGTGAGAATATATGAGTCCAAAATAGGGTAAACAGTAAGGCAGTTAATGAATTATTAATTAGCTTTTCTTATATGACAAGTGACCTCCCTCTTTTTTTTTTTTTTTTTTTTTTTTTATTCAATCTAATTTTGAATTTGTGGACCAATGCAGCAAGTTAGGGCTGGATTACTTGGACCTATACTTAATTCACTGGCCCATAAGGTTGAAACAGGTCAATATGCCCACCGATAAGGTGGACATTTTCCCCTTTTTTGATACAAAAGGAACATGGGGAGCCATGGAAAGCTGCAAAAGACTGGGACTTGTTGAATCCATTGGAGTAAGTAACTACTCATGCAAGAAGTTGTCTCAAGTTCTGGAGATTGCTACCATACCTCCGGCAGTGAACCAGGTAATGGTAATAACAAGGATTAATTGTCTAAAATTCACATTCTTCTCTAGACGAATAGATAATTTATATTGATATTTTTATGCATTTTAGTTGATAAAGGTTCGATTTCAATTTGTAAGTCTGCTCTGTTGAGTGAGTCCAACCCAAAACAAGGCTCACACGAGGTCCATATGATTAAATCCTAGCTAGAATAGGATTTGAAGGACTTATTTCTAATAGGAATTGGTTTCCAGGACCTAGGTAAAGTTTTCTTTTATTAGGGGCTGTTTGGTTCGTTTCCTAAAAACCAAGAAAATGAAAGAAAAGCATGGAAATCAATAAAATTTGGTTTCCATCATTTTCCACCCTTAGAAATCTCCCACATCAACCAATAATATGGTGACAACTCATCTTATTTCTTATTTTTAAAAATAAACTAAACACAAGAAATGGGTCACATCAATCAACTCATCCAACTCATCTCATCTCATCTACTACCATCTTTAAAAACCACTCACATCATCCAATAATATGGTGACAACTCATCCTATCTCATTAACATTTCATATCCACCAATTTCCTCCAAAAAAGCTAGGAAATCGATTTCTTTAAGTGTGGGTCACATCATCCAATAAGATAATGACAACTCATCTCATCTTATCTATTTTCTTAGTTTTAAAAATGAACCAAACACAAGAAAAGAACCAAAACAAAGAAAATATTTTCCTTATAAGTTTTTTCCTTATTTTTTTAGCCAACCAAACATAAGAAAAGAACATCAAAATAAGTTTTCTTTAAAAATCACTCACATCATCCAATAATATCGTGACAACTCATCTCAACTTATCTCTTTTTTACTTCTAAGAAGTGAACCAAACACAAGAAAACATCCAATTATGGGAAATATGTTTCCTTTTCTTTACTTTCCATGTTTTTTTAGCGAACCAAACAGGGGCACATGGGTGACATCACCCTGTAATTGTTTTCGCAAGAACAGTAAACCGAGAACAATATTTTTGAGGGGTTACACGGATTTCAAGGAGAGAAAGAGAGAAAAATTGAGATTACAGATAGCTCAGTTGTCCAATTGCAATGATTCAAACACCGTTGTCTTCAGAGCGATGACGTTGTCAAGGGTAAGGTGTTGGTTTCTCCGCATGTATTGGAGATTTGTGGTGAGACGGATTTTAGGGTTTTGGTACCCTAGAGGTAACATTATATTTTTCTTTTGTGATTTGATCCTTAAGTTTAGGTATAATTTTGAAGGATTGTACTCTTGATTGATAGTGGAATATTACTCTTGGATTATCCCATGAGCGTAGGCACGATTTGCTGAACCATGTTTAATCTTGGTGGTTGTTTGCATGTGGTATTTTTATTGGTGTCGTTATTCGTTTAGTGTTTAATTCCACAGATTAATCTCCATAAAATTTCTAACAAGTGGTATCAGAGACTTGGTTCGAGGCATTCTTTGGGATAGAAAAGATGGAGAGTTTTGGCACAACGATAAAATTAGATGGTTCTAAATGGTAAGTATGGAAGTCCGAGATGGAAGATATTCTGTATTGTAAAGATTTAAATGACCGTATTAAGGGAGATAAATTCAAGCCAGAAAAGATGAATGGTAAAGAATGAGAGAAACAATACAGGAAGACGATCAATTATATTTGGATGTGGATCGACGTTAGTGTGTTTCATTATGTATCGAGTGAGACTAATGCGAAGTCTCTTTGGAAGAAGCTTGAGGATATCTACGAGCAAAAGACCGCGGGAAACAAGGCGTTTATTATGAGGCAGTTGGTGAACTTGAAATTCAAAGAATGAAGCAACATAGTAGGGCACTTGAATGAATTCAAGAGCTTGATTAATCAGTTAGCTACCATGAAGATGACTATCGATGATGAGTAACAGGTTTTATTGCTATTGGGTTCTTTGTCAGACAATTGGGAGACACTGGTGGTGACGGTTAGCAACGCAGCTCTTGATGGTGTGTTATCGATGAGTATGGTTACTAGTAGTTTATTCAATAAGGAGATTCCGAGGAAGTCTACCAGCACAGATAACTCACAGGCACTTGTCGTGGAGAACAGGGGCAAGAGAAAGTACACGGACCAGTCCATAGGTTGTGACACATCCAAGGGTAGATCAAAGTCTAAAGTGAGAGGTTACTTTCATTGTGGGAAGCTAGGTCATATCAAGAAGAATTTTTGGGCATGGAAGAAAGAGCAAGCTGGGAAAAAAATAAAAAGAAAGATGAGAGGAAGAAAGCAGACAATGACACTACAACTATTTTGTCTGAGACCGATGCTATTCTCATTTTCAAAAAAGAAGGTTGCATGCATGTTACAAGTCAAAATTCCGAGTGGGTAGTGGATACAAAAGCTACATGTTATGCTACTCCAATCGAGATATTTTCACGACATATAAAGTAAATGATTTTGGCAATGTGAAGCTGGACAATAATGGCTACTCGAAGATTGTGAGACTTGGTGACATACACTTGTAGACAAATACCGGATGTACATTAAGTTTGAAGAATGTACGACATGTTCTCAATCTGCGGCTCAACTTAATTTCGAGTCTTACTTTGGACCAAATGGGATATGAAATTCAATTTGGTGGAGGAAAATGGAAAATTACCAAAAGTTCTCTTGTGGTGGCTAGAGGAAGTATATATTGTAATTTATACAAGACTCAAGCAAAGTCGTCATATGATTCTTTGAGCGTGGCTTAAGATGGTAACACTCTCAGTTTGTGTCATAGGAGACTTGGGCACTAAAGCGAGAAGGGATTGCAGATATTGGTAAAGAACAATCTCATTCGCTTTGCTAAAGATTCATCACTCACCCCTTGTGATTATTCTTTGTTTAGCAAGCAACATAGAGTTTCTTTTAGTAAGCCTTCAAAAAATATTCTGAATTTGATTTATTCTGATGTTTGTGGTCTTATTGAGGTGAAATCCTTAGGTGGTAATAATTATTTTTTCATATTTATTGATAATATATTGCAGAAGATGTGGGTCTTCTTATTGAGTACAAAGGATCATGTGTTTTTAATCTTCTAGCAATTTCATGCTATGGTGGAGAAGCAGACAGGAAAAAAGTTAAAGTATTTGTTCATTGATAATGAAGGAGAGTACACTTCAATTGAATTTAGAGATTATTACTCTAAGTATGGTATTTTATTATTAGTGAATAGAGCCCGGCACACTGCAGCATAAGGAGTCGCATTGAGGTACAACATGACCAATGTGGAAAAAGTCAGATGCATGTTGAAGATGGTGAGGTTACTTAAGAGCTTCTAGGCTGAAACTGGTCGCACTGCATACTACATAATCAACAAGTCTCCTTCAGTTCCTTTGAGTTTTGATATTCCAGAGAATGTTTGGTCCAGAAAAGATATTTTCTACTCTCATCTAAAGGTGTTTAGTTATAAGACATTTGCACATATTCCAAAGGAGAAAAGACAGAAGCATCATGATTGGGTGGTTCATTGCATCTTCCTTAGTTATGGAGAAGATGAATTCGGCTACAAGCTATAGGATCTAGAAAATAGATAAATTATCAGATGAGCAGATGTGTTTTTCAAGAGCATCAGAGCAATCAGAGAGTGTTGCTAGTGAGATTCCAGATATGACACCTGTTTTGTCTTTAGTACAGTTACATCCTACAGATACAGAGCAGGTGCATGATGATGATGTTGATGATGATGGTCAGATACCAAAGCAAGAAGATGATGATCATGATCACGAGCAAGAGGCTCCTCAGTAGGGTGAGCATTACCAGTAATAAGAGATTGCAGAGACAGTTTAGGAGATCAGCTAGAGAACATAGACCCTCCACGAGATATTCTCTTCCAGAGTACTCTTTACTGATAAAAGAGGAGGATCCAGAGAGCTTCAGGTGGTACATACTCATAAAGACAATGACAAATGGTTTCAGGCAATGTAGGAAGAGATGATGTCTCTCCAAAAGAATGATACTTATGAGTTGGTGGATTTGTCGAAGGACAAAAAAGCTTTGAAGAACAAGTGGGTGTTCAAGTTTAAAAAAGATGGATACAAAGAGATTCAAAAATATAAAGCCAGATTAGTAGTGAAAGGCTTTGGTCAGAAAAGAGATATTGATTTTGATGAGATTTTCTCACCGGTTGTAAAGATGACATCCATTAGAGTTACCTTGGGGTTAGCAGCTAGTGTGAACCTCGAGATTGAGTAGCTTGATGTGAAAATATTTCTCCATGGTGATTTAGAGGAGGAGATCTACATAGAGCAGCCCGAGGATTTTGAAGTAAAGGAAAAAAGAACATATGGTTTGCATATTAAAGAAGAGCCTTTATGGTTTGAAGCAGGTATCCAGGCAGTGATATAAGAAATTTGACTATTTCAAGTTAAATCATGGCTACCAGAGGACAGTTACAGATTCTTATATATAATTCACAAGATTTTTAGATTTTAGCTTCATTATCCTTTTGCTTTATGTGGACGATATATTGATTATTGGTCAGGACAGTTAGATGATTGGTGGACTGAAGAAGGAGTTATTTAAATCCTTTGACATGAAGGATTTGGGCTCGGTATAGTGGATTCTTGGTATGAATATTTCTCGTGATAGGAAAACCAGGAAGTTATGGTTATGGTTATCACAAGAGAAATAGGTTGAACATGTTGCTTGATAGATTCAACATAAAAGATGTTAAGTCGGTTAGTACTTTTACAGGTTAATCTTAGCAAGAAGTTTTTCCCAACTATAGATAAAAAAAGAAAGAGATGAAGAATATTCCTTACTCTTTAGCTGTAAGGAGTTTAATGTATGTCATGATTTGCACTTGGCCAGATATAGCTCACGCAGTTGGTGCTGTGAGCACGTCTTTCTTATAATTTAGGGAAAGTTCATTGGGAAGGTGTAAAGTGGATATTGAAATATTTGAAAGGCACTTCCAGATTGTGTTTAAATTTTGGAGGTTCGTAGGCAGTATTACATTGTTTTGTGGATGCGGATATGGCAGGTGATCTTGATCACATGAAATCTACCTCAATTGGTTCATTTTTGCAAGGAGAGCTGTATCTTGACAGTCCAGGTTGCAGAAGTGTGTTACTTTGTCTACAATAAAGGCAAAATATATTACAGCTGCAAAAGCCGATAAGGAGATAGTTTGGTTGAGAAGATTTCTGTAGGAGTTAGGCTTGTAGCAAGACAATTATCAGGTTTTCATTGATAGTCAGAGTGCTCTTGATTTGAGCAAGAATTCCACATTCCACTCTAGAAAAAAACACATTGATTTGAGATATCATTAGCTTAAGAAGTTATTGAGAAAGAGGAACTAAAGCTACATAAGATTCACACAGATAAAAATCTAGCAGATTTTTTAACGAAGCCCGTTTCCAGAGAGAAGACCGAGTTGTGTTGGCGATTGGTCGGCATGAACTCCCGATGAGGGGTTACAGATTGGCATACCCCCTCATTGGGCCGGAGGGGAAGATTGTTGAGTGAGTCCAGCCCAAAACAAGGCTCACATGGGGTCCATATGATTAAATCCTAGCTAGAATAGGATTTGCAGGACTTATTTCTATTAGGAATTTGTTTCAAGGACCTAGGTAAAGTTTTCCTTTATTAAAGGAAAGTATGGGCACATGGGTGACATCACCCTATAATTGTTTTCACCAGAACAGTAACCCAAGAATAGTAATTTGGAGGGGTTGTGTGGCTTTCAAGGAGAGAGAGAGAGAGAAAAATTAAGATTACGGATAGCTCGGTTGTCCTTGTAGTGATTCAAATGTTGTTGTCTTCAAAACGATGACGTCGTTAGGGGTACAGTGTTAGTTTCTCTATAGGTGTTGGAGATTTGTGATGAGAAGGGTTTTATGGTTTTGGTGCTCTAGAGGTAACGCTGTATTTTTTTCTTGTGATTTGATCCTCAAATTTGTGTATAACTTTGAAGAATTATACTCTTGATTGATAGTGAAATATTACTCTCTGGATTGCCCTATGAACATTGGCATGAGTTACCAAACCACTTTAAATATTGGTGTTTGCTTGCATGTGGTATTTTTATTGGTGCCGTTATTTATTTAGTATTTAATTTTGCAGATTAATCTTTATAAAATTCCTAACATGCTCTTCAACTAGATGTGTGAGGTGAGTGAAAAGTTTAAAGTCTTTTAGCTAAAAATTATGTAACTTAACATGTCTATGCTCAAAATTAACCAAACCCCACTGGACTTATTTGATTTGGTTGATTCACTTTGATAAAAAAATGATCAGAAACTAATTAATCAAACCGACCGATTGCTCACCCCTAAACAACAGTGACCAAAATAAATAATAATTATAGTGTTTTCTGGTGAAGTTGATGGAGACGTTTCCTTTTCTGTATTTCTTTAGGTGGAGATGAATGTGACATGGAATCAAAAGAAGTTGAGGGAGTTGTGCAAGGAGAAGGGAGTTGTTATCACGGCATGGGCACCGTTGGGGGCGAAGGGAACTATGTGGGGATCAACGAGGGTGATGGAGAATCCTGTGCTGAAGGAAATTGCTTGTGCTAAAGGAAAGACGGTGGCCCAGGTATTTCCATTTCACAAAAGTTTAAGGCTAAATGACACTTAATTATCCTATTGTTTTATCATATTTACACTTAAATATCCTAAGTTGTAAAAAATAACACTTTAACATCCTAAATTATAAAAAAACAAGCACATTAATAACTTCTGTTAGTTGTCATAAAAATTCCTAGAAATATGTCCTCACAACTAACAGAATATATTAAAGTGTTATTTTCTTACAACTTAGAGTATTAAAGTGCTATTTTCTTATATTTTAGGTTACTGATATGCAGTACGTGCGATGTACGAGATGCATATTAAGAAAATATAAGAGTTGAATTATTTGAAGGGCAACTAATATTTTTCACTCAACAATCTTACAGTTATTTATTAAATAGATTGATTAGTATAGGAACAGCTATGTTAAATGAATATTTATTTGAACACGTTAAATAAAAATTACATGAGAACATAATAAATCATTCTAGATAAAATTGACCAAAAAACCATACACATAAAGCTTTAAAAGTTTGATATTAAAATGGCTGAAACTCTAGGAGATCAGATGCTAACTATAATTTGAGTTTGTATATATTGAGTCTTGATGTGCGCAAAATATATCTGACATGAGATCATTGTTTATATATTTTATTTTATTTTTGTTAAATGGAAAAGCTTTATTTTATTCACCATTGAACATTTGGGGTACATCACAAACTCAACATAAGGACATAAGTTACGAAAGCATCAAATTACAAAAGCATCCAAAAGATAAGATTATGATCCTTCATTCCATCTCTTACATTCCTTGTCCAGTTTTGTGTTTAGTAATACTATTAAAACTAAAGCTTTAATATCATTGACAATAACATTATGCTCCGTAGACCTCTGAACTAAAATACGCAATTTTTTTGCTAGAGTGTATATGTGGTAGCTGAAAAACTCGTCCTCTTCAACTATTGTTTGAATATGTTCCCTCTTATTATACAAGAAAACCAGCCAACAAGATAATTTTAATAGCGAGGCCTCCACTCAAACATTACAATTAGTAATCTCATTCCAAACTTATATTTAATAAACACACTAAAAAATCAGGTGATTGTGATTCTCTTCAAGACCCTGCACACTAAGCACAAGTTGGTTTGAAGAGAAAATTGCCATATAACATAATCGATCCTAGGTAAGGAGCTTAGAATGAAAAACATGGCATAATATGAAGAAGTGCTTAGGATATAGACCCGAATTTCATACTGTATTACTCCACTAAATAGGTGAAAATATAAAGGATAATTTACAATATAAATCAGAGATTAATACTATTAATTCCTATCACAATTAGCATGAATAATTGAAATCAAGCCATTTGCAACACCAAAATATCCAGTAGCATAATCTTTAACATTTAATATTCTCTTCCACATCCAAGAATCCCCTTGTTTAGCTTGATCCTCCAAAAGAGTTGTATTTTTTAAGTAAGTATCATGGATCCATTTGATGCATAAAAGACCAATTTTTAGGTGAATGAGCTAAATGAAATTGATAGCAATAACAACATTCCAGGTCCTCATAGAATACATTTCTAAACCACCATATCTCTTTTATTAACAAACAATATTCCAGAAAAGTAGAGAAATGTTTATAGTTGCTTAGTTTTCTCCCATCGAAAGCTCCTGTATAAATCATCTATGTTGCTCAATACTTTTTTTGGCAAGATATAATTACTAGCCCGAAATATTTGAATGCCTATAATAACACTTTTAAGAAGTTGGAGCCTCCCGGCATATAAAAGCTTCCTACACTTCATCCACACTTGAAACCTGAAATAAGGATCATTGTTAATTATTGTTTACATCTCTTTTATGTAAAGTAAACAAAGCTATGGTTTTTTACTCTAAAAGAATAAATCTAAGCTACTATGTTAACAAGTCTCCTGTATGTATTATATATATTTGTCCATTTATTTGAACAGATTTCTATAAATTTTGGAGGAAAGGTTTTTTTAATTCTAAATATACATTTGCCCAAAGAACCTAACGTTATGTCCGAGAACCACAATCCATTAAAACTGATACATAACCCAACCTGCACAAACTTTTGTCATCCCAACATTGTGAACACCATGTCATCACAACTTCCTATCCAGTAGTTTAACATATGAATACAACTTCAGATTGAGAAGACATCACAAAAACTTTCGAAAATTATATGTCAACCTACCAGTTATATTCATATCCAATAAAATAATAGGTATAATTTGAAATAATGACCTTGTTATATATTAAGGTCATCCTCATTACTATAAGGTGCAAATTCACTAAATTTCATGGCACAAATCATACTAAAAATCATACTAAAAATCATCTTATAGTTGTCAGATATAATTCGAAATGAGGAGAACTGGTGAATTTCGAAGGACATGAGTAATCAAAATTTATAAAATTTGTTAAATGGTTGGTGTGGAACTTCATTATGTTGGCTAGGTAAAATGAAGCACTGTTATTGTGAACACATACACATGTTGACATAAAAGAAAAAAGAAAGAAAAGAAACCATGAAGGATGAGGACTTTTACATTTATATTTAGGTTCAAGAGCTGATTAAGAAGCATGCACTCTCTATCTATTTTTAAATTCTTATCTCTAACAAGTAAAGTCATAGTATGTAAATTGATAGAGTACCCAAACTGACAAAATAAATCAGCAGTCCTGTATCTTAGCCACAGAACCATTTTTTTTATATTATCAATCTCTAGAAATTTACAGATCTAAACTCTTTAAAAAATTTAGAAATTTAGGTTGAAATGATATTAAAAGGCTATTTTTCCAGTAAAATAAAGCATAAGTTGATTAAGGTATGATGAAATAGTTACCTTGATAGACGTGTTCTGCCACCAACAGCAAATCCCTCCAACAACTACATCACAAAAAATAAAAAGAAAAATTAACAAAATAAAAAATATTATCAACAAAAAGGAAAATTAAAAAAAATTACCAATAAAGAACAAATTATAATTGATAATTGACAAACTACATAATAATAAGAAATGAAGAATAACAAACTACAATCACAGTTACAATTATTATAATTATAATTTACATACCATCAAGGAATTAGATTATATTTTCTCCATCATAATCCAAAAAATTAGCAATTTGTATAAGCAAGAGGCTTTGTGAATTTAATATTTTCATTCAATTTGGAGTTGAGAAAGGAGGAAATTTGAGTAGGCATTGCAATTAGTGGCAATTTATTGATCATGTAGTGGGATGAGATGAGATAGATCAAGGAGGTTAGGTTATGAGAGAGAAGAAATATAATTGATGGGTGGGGTTGCAAATTGAGGAGTCCATTAGTGCCATGAGAGAAAAATTAGAGACACGAGAAGATGGATTTAGGGTTTTACTGAGAGATGCGAGAAGAGGGATAAGGAGAGAAAACATACTTATGCTATCAATGTAAAGATCCAAAGAGAATGTTCTTCTTGTATCTCAGAGAGAGAGAGAGAGTGAGAGAAATGGAAAAGAGAGAGAGAGAGAGAGAGAGAGAGAGAGAGAGAGAGAGAGAGAGAGAGAGAGAGAGAGAGAGAGGGAGAAAGAGAAAGAAGAAGAGGGGGAGAGAGAGAGAGAGAGAGAGAGAGAGAGATGGAAATCGGAACAGAAGAAGAGGGGGAGAGAGAGAAACCGAAATAAACAGTCATTCAAAAGTTAATTAATTAAATTATTAAATTTGGGAATTGGCTAATTAGAATTAGGATAGGATAGCCATTAAGAAAATTGAAATAGGCAAAATAGGCATTCAAAAGTTTTGACAATGGTTCTCTCTTTTATAAGTAGCATAAATTAAAATGCTTTCTTTTACAACTTAGAATATTTAAGTCTAAAGGTGGTGAAATTAATAGGGTATTTAAATGCTAGTTATTTTATAACTTCGAGTATTAAAGTGCTATTTTTAACAATTTAGAATATTAACGTGTTACTTTTTATAACTTTGAGTATTTAAGTATAAAGACAGTGAAACGATAGGGTATTTAAGTGCCGTTTAGCCAAAGTTTAAAGATGAATTTAGTAACGAAGCTAGTTAGAGTGGCAATGTATCATGCATGTTCGTATCTAGATATAATGTATCATGTCTTATGTCCAGATATATTGTATCACATGTGTATTTCTCAATATAAATAAAACATATATAAAGGGAAGTGAGCTAACTGAACTTTCTCCTTCTTTTACGTACAACAATTAAAGAAGATGCTAGTTTTTTTTTGGTCAATGAACTGTAAACTTTATTCATCTCCCAAATTTGAATATGTAAAGTCAAACAAAGTTCCAGAAGCCTGGAAAACAAAAGAAAGATTACAAATTTTCAAGAAGCTCTTTCATATGTACATGAGAACTATCATTTAAAACTTTATAAAAAACCGAAAGCTTAATATCCCTAAAAACTTGAGCAGGCAGCCTTCTCTTGTCCTGAAAAATCCTTAGATTTCTCTCCCTCCAAATCATATATACAGCAGCAGACAAGCACATCCTTTTCAGCTTTTTCATAGGACATTTTCCTTTCAAATTGTAAGAGTACCAGTGCAGTATCAATCTCCATGTACAGGACCTCCATTTGTATCCCAACCAGCTCATCACCAAGTTCCATACTTCAGCTGAATATTGACACTCAAAAAAGATATGATCCCTTGCCTCTAGCTGGTGACTGTCACACAGAACGCAGTGAAGCTGATTTGTGCTCAAGATGTTCATTCTGCACAGTCTATCCTTGGTAAGCAGTCTAGAGTGACAAGCTAGCCAAAGCACAAAGGAGTGTTTAGGGTATAGGAAGCCATCCCAAACTGTTTTAGCCCAACCAACAGTACTAGCAGGTTGAAAAAGAACTCTGTAAACTGCAGATAAAAGAAGTTTACCTTCAGAGTAACAATCTGCTATGACATTTTGTGCAGTAACAGCACTCCCAAACTTACTCAAAAGCAAGAAGATGCTAGTTCTAGCTTAATCTGTTATCGCTAAGATGCAAAAGAAAAATATGTGTCTTTCAGGAAATATCTGTATACATATCCGCTATAGTTATCAAAATCTATACATAATAGAATATGATTACGAATATTAATACATAGTGAAATATTCGAATAGGGATCATGCATGGAATATCTAAATACATGTTGGTCATATAGTTAATTTTGTTGGCGCCTGAAGCTAAATCTGGAATAAAATAAATATAACGAAAGCTGAAGTATTGTTAGCGCCTGAAGCTAAATTGTATTTTAAAACTTTTTTAAGTTAGCTGATGTGCGTTTGTGAAACATTGTGCTTAAAGCAATATTTGGCCTACCCCGATGCAAGGATCCCAATGCCAAACTGCTTTCAGAAACAGCACTACAGTACAATGGTGTGCACCAACCAAGTACTGTCAAGATCTCCTCGATCTATAAGACCTTTCGGTCAAGGCAACAATCTCCTTGATCTGTTAAAACCTTTCAGTTCAGGGCTCTGTTCCTTCGGGCACATGCTAAAGTTTACACGCTTTTAAACTCTGCAGCAGCAGCACAACAGCTCAACAGATTCAAACTGTTAAAGTTTTTCAACACTTCAGTGTGTTCGCGTCCTCCAAGAACTGCCCCAAAGGGGCACTATTTATAGGCCTCTAAGGCGCCACTTAACGCCTCAGTCCGATTAGCATTGATCCCCGGCCCATTGGCCCACGGTCCATGGCCCACGATCTATGGCCCACAGCCCACGAGTCTACGACCTCACGGCCCATGACCCACGGCCCATGACCCACTATCACTTATGAGGAATTGATTGATTTATTTAAGACAACAATTCTCGGCTTGCCGACCTTTCGAAACACCAAAACTTTAACTTTCCACTACGCTACTAAGAATTTCTAAAATATACTAATAGTTAGTAAATATATAGTTTGAAAACTTATTTTAGAAAGCGGTTTTGATCAATAAATCCAACAAATTTTAATCCTTAAATTAATGTATTTGAGATTACTCTTGATAAGATATAGAGATTTAATCTTAGCTTTTTAGACATAATGAACTCTCTTGTATCATTAGAATTTATTTTCATCCACGGATTCAGTTATCAATAAATTGTTATTATTTATCTATTTATTTATTTTAATATATATATTTCTGGCCTCACATAATATATTTCTTTTGGACATGGTGACAGGTTGCTCTGAGGTGGTTATATGAGCAAGGGGTGAGCATGGTGTCCAAAAGCTACAACAACGGAAGAATGAGGGAAAACCTCAATATCTTTGATTGGGAGCTGAGCGAAGAAGATAAAGACAAAATCCAAAGTATTTCACAGTGCAGGGGATATCCAGGGGATTCTTTAGTTTCAGAAAAAGGGCCTTACAAAACCGTGGAGGAACTGTGGGATGGAGAAATTTAAAGGTATAAATTTCATCCGAACCGCCACGTACAAGCAAAGACGTTTTAACCCATCTACATGAAGGCAATGGGGGGACTGCTAGAAAAATTAAAATGTTATAATAAGATTTGTATTTGAGGTTTGAATTTCTGAAACATGCTATTTATCTATATTCTAAAATTATTGGATTTAGCACTGTAGATGGCTACAACTTCATTTCATTTGTTTGATTTATTTCCTATTTTTTGATTTATTTATGCTTTACATTCACTAGTTGTATAGCTCTTAACATTATGGAAAATGCTAGAGGCACACATTTAAACCACGCAACCAACTAAACTCCTTTCTCGCTACAATGCACTGGGGCCCACATGAGAATTTAAAAAAAAATTCATATGGACCCCAATACATTATAGTGAGAGAGGAGTATGGTTAGAGTGGGGTCCACCCACATGAAAGTTGCGCGTGAATAGATCACCAAAAGCCGTTGCAAGTGAAAAACAAGGCCCACCCGGTTTCCTCCCTCCTATAAATAACAATGTGATCTTTAGCCTAGGTTTTTGTGCAAAGTGGGGTGCGGGGAATATTTTGCGGCTGCAGAGGAGAACAGGGTGTGCAGGGATTTGTTTTTCCGGCTGGATTTGTTTTCTCTTTTGGCTACAGCAAGAAGAAAAGTGCAGGCTTTGTGCTTTTGTAGAGAGAGATTGTGTGAGAGGTTTGAGAGTTTGTGTGAGGGTTTAGATTGAGTGATTGTAAACCCTAGTTGTATCCTCTCCCTCTAATAGTAGAGCTCCCCCCCTCCTTGCCCCGTGGACGTAGGCAATTTACCGAACCGCGTAAAATTGGTTGTCTCGTTATTTGTGTGATTTGTAATAGCTTTTAGGTTCCCTCGATAGGTCAGTCCTAGAACTGATAAGAGGAAGAGCTGATATCTCACTTGGTTGAGATATTTTGCTTCAGATTCTTGTTTCCTTGGTGAGACAGGAATTTTTATTGCAACCTGACTCTCTTGTTGTGCTGCCGAAGTGCTGCCGAAATTTCCGCTGCACGCAACAAGTGGTATCAGAGCCCAGATTTCAGATCTAGGGTTTTTGGTGGAGGAAGATTCTTATATGAAGCTTGGTTCTTGGAGTTCTAGGCTTCGGTGGAGATAGCATTAGGAGTTACCGTTAGAGATTTCGCTTTCCTCGTGTGGATAGGAGATCTATTTGGAATCCGATCTAGGGTTCAGTTGGGTGGTTCCTAATTCTATCAAATTTGTTCTTTCTCTACAATTTGGAGTTAGTTTGCAATAGGAGAAGAAGGTGAAAGCAGCAAGTCGATGGTGAGTACAATACAAGTTGGTTTTCAGAACACTAAGATTAGTATGGTGAAGTACGACGGCAAAATCAACTTTGGTTTGTGGATGAGCGACGTATAGGATGCGCTCAATGCTCAGAATTTGGAAGAGACCATCATGGTCTATGAGAGGCCACCTAAATATGAAGAGGCGGTATGGGAAAAGATGAATAGGAACGCTTGTGGGGTGATTAGGTCCTGTTTGGAACAGGAGCTAAAATATGATGTGATTGGGATAACGTCTGCAATGAAGATAGGAGAAATTCTCAACAATAAGTATCTCACAAAGAGTGTTGAGAACATGTTGCACTTGCTGTGAAGACTCTTCAGATTTCAGATGTCCAGAGACATCTCGCTAGCGACTCATGTGAACAACTATACTAAGTTATTGTCGGACTTGGCGAATATTGACGAGAAGATATCGGATGAGTACAAGGCTATTATCTTATTGGGCTCCTTACAGGATGAGGAGTATGATACCTTCATGCTTACTTTGTTAAACAAGAGATCTTCTATCAGCTATAGTGAAGTGACTAACGCTTTGACAAACTACGATTTGAGGAGGAAGGATAAGGAGACTTCCCGCGCTAGTACTTCAGGCGAGGCCTTGTCGACGAGAGGTAGAAGCCCGTATCCGAAAGGTGGTAATAGAGGGAGGTCAAAGTCAAGAAGCCGCCACTAATTAGCAAAGAACCAATATGCATTCTGCAAGAAGCAGAGACATTGGAAGAGAGACTGTCCAAAGATCAAAGAGAAGGAGAATAGCAAGAAAAAGGGCTCAAAGCCTAATGAGGTGAACGTTGCGAAAGGCGATGATTCTGATGATTCGTGCTTTTCTCTACTGATTACTCCGGAGGTGAACCATGTGGATACATCAGATTGGATGCTTGATACCGGCGCTACTTATCATGTGATCCCTAGGCGAGACTGGTTTGCATCTTTTGAGAAAGTCGACGGGGGTGTTGTTGTCATGGGAAATGATCAATCCTTTGGCGTTTGTGGGATAGGTACCGTACGGATTAGGATGCACGATGGAGTAGTCTGTGAGTTGAAGGAGGTGAGATTTGTTCCTCAACTAAAGAAAAATCTTATCTCAGTTGGAGCTTTGGAAGCAAAGGGATTCAAGGTTGTAGACGTCAAAAATTACCTATAGCTTCCCAAACACAGTTCAAGACAACGAGAAGACGATAAACGTTATTATCCAAGTCAAGGAAATTTATCCAATACCAGTAAGCGTACGAAGTGGATCAGTAAAATGTACAAGTCAGCGAAACGATGAACCGTACACAAAACAAGCGAACTTGAGGGGTCACGAATCGCCAAAATAGCAAAAAGATGAACAAAACATCACTCGGAGGCTTGCGTAAGCGCGAGCCACCAAATGGTGGCTCGCACAGTCCCGAGCCACCAAATGGTGGCTCGCACATTGCAGGACTCTTTTTGACTCCCAAGACTCCCAAAACGCGAATTTCGATGATTTTTAAGGATTCTTTCGTCCCAGGGCCTCCCCAAATGTTTTGAAGCTATCCCTAAACGTGTTTAAGCGGTTATTAACCACAAATAACGTTTAAACACCAATTCTTATCCAAAAGGACGTCTCCAAAGGCCTATAAATAGAAGCCTAGTGTCTTCTTTCAAGAGGATCTGAAGTTGAGAAGGCGAGGTGCTGTCAAATTGTCCAGCTAACCACGAATTTTAGAGGAGAATCATCAGATCTTGGCGAATACTTTCATAAAGAAAGTCTTTCGAAAGGTTTGTGATTCTTTCCCCTTCTTTCCTCGGGATTAAACTTGGTTTTAATCTCGAGAAGAGCCACAATCTCGCTTGGTCGTGATTGTCGCTTCCGCAATTGTTTCCTTTGTGAAACAAGAGCGTAGTTATACTGTCAATCGGGTTTGATCTGCGGTGGTCTACAGACTAACGCGTCCCCAGCACAGGCAAAGATCCCACGCAAAGCAGTGGGAGATAAACAACTGCTGCGTTTTGTTTGATAAAGTTATAATCTTTATTTTTTTCATTGTAAGAAGATCTTATAAAAAGATCAACTTTTCTTTCAGTTTGAACTTGTAATCGATAAACGGTGTAACAGATTTGAAAGCAATGGAAAAGACAACTTTTTACGAAAACAAACTAGCGACCACAGTGGGAGCCGACAGCTTCTCTGCCGAAGCTGTAGTGTCGCAACCAAATATCATCATCCCGATCAACGAAGAGGTCGAGTACGAGTTCGACCAGTCAAAGTATGAGGAATACTTATCCTCATCTTCCAGATCATCCTCTCCTCGTAAGAATAGGAGAGACTCCACAAGGAAGATTCGGGGGGCACTTGGATCTGAAGGTTCAAAACCAAGATCCTCATCCTGCAGCGGCTCAAGGCACACCTTGCAAAGCCGAAGCCACTACTGAAAACGCGCCGACCTTATCCAAGAGAGCGCGTCAAAGACGACGTCAGCGCCTCGCACGCCAATTGGCCAAAGCTTCCGAGATAGTTGATGGGATCCGCTATGAAGCAGATCTGAAGTCTAAAAGACACCAACCACTACGGCTGCAAGCGAGCGACTGTTTCAAATCAACGGTGAATGAATGGGTCCCCGTTAAGAGGACACGTTCAACTCTTAAAGAACGGATCCAGAAACGCCGCGCGTTACTTGCACACTCAAGAATTCTGGTGCAAGAAGCCAGGAAATTGCAAACAAACAATGTAGATAATATACTGTCAAAACCACATCAAATCTGGAGGTCGAAATCCAAAACAAGGCCCGAAAAAATGAATGTCGGCTGCTGGCTCGGCCAAGGCCGAGCACAAACGCTGGCTCGGCCAAGGCCGAGCCACCAAGTGCTGGCTCGCGTCACGCCAAGCCTTCTCCCCTAATTTGCAGAAAATTCGCCTCCCGTAATCGTTTTCGAGTCACCGACAGCTCCTGTTTCTGTTCCGATGACTTCCTCACCTTCGGTAGGACCTCACGACAGCGTGGACTTGTCCCGATTCAAAGTGAAGATTACAGATCGTCTGGGTCCTTTGCATAAAGATGAACCCCGGATGGTTCGTCAGAATGGGGGTCGTACGCGATGCCCCAGTAAGTCAAAGATCTCTCCTACAGAAAAAGTACCAATAACCACTCGCCTCGGATTGCGAGTTAAAGTCCAAGAGCCCGTTGGGTCCTCACACACACGAAAGCATGGTTTCAAATGAGTGACTCTTGAGAATAATGACAGGGCGTTTTACCCTCAAAGAAAGCTATGTTCGTCAGAAGATGATGACGTTAGAATGGGAGAATTATGCCAGCACAAGATAGGTTGCTCCGATAATCATATCAACAAGTTGTACTATCATGCTGGGGGTACGAATAAATCTCGAAAGAGAAATACCCGGGAAAACGGATTCTCTTTGTCCATGTACCAAACTTATCAAAGTGGTATGATCAGGGTGTAACTGCTCCAAGACCGCCTCGCAAAGGATTTCGGTATTTGAAAGACTTTCTACAAAAACGCTAAGACACAAGTCAAGACGTTTCCGTAAAAGGAAGCCGGCTGTTCAAGAACGAGAATTCTCAGAAGTCACAATTAACATGTCCGACAAGGGAAAGTCCACGTGACGCTTCAATCCCGAACCTTTTCCACAAATATCTCAGCGATTAACTCGGCTACAAACCGGGGCTATCAGTCCTAGAGATTATAGGAGAGTTTAGAGGGGGCAGTCCTCAGATGATGAAGCATCAGACGCTAACTCTGTGATCGCTTCAGATGCTACTGTGTCCAGCACGGGAAGGACTCGAGAATCATTCATGATCATTACTGAACAGATGGCTCAACTCCTTCAAGAAGCTTTGACTAAGAAAAAAGAGGACTTTAAAATCAAAAT